AAGATTTTGAAAGATTTCAAAAGATTTTGAAAGATTTTGAAAGATTTCAAAGATTTCAAAAGATTTCGAAAGATTTTGAGAGATTTCAAAAAGTTTGAATCTACTCCAGTTAGAGGAAATCTGCGTGTTCTAATAAAGGAGATGTGTCATACTACGGAATATGCGTCTGAAAAGTCTGAACCCAATTTTATTATTCTGAGAATCAGCATTCATACTTTGGCTCCCTCAGGGATCAAAAAAAAACTTGTATCTTTGTTTTTGTAGAGGCACTTCCAGTTCGATTGAACTCAGCATGCTGATTTCGATCATCACACTTATTTTCAAAATTCGTCTGATAAAAAGAAACATCTGAAGCACTTTCTGGAATCCCTAAAAACCAGTTTTTGACCTGCAAGTTCATCAAAGTTCCATTGGAATCCAAGAAAAATAGGCTCATTCGCGTAGAAGTTTTTTCTCTACCAGAACCTATAAGAAGGTCCTAAGTATTCAAACCTTTTCAACCGATAATTGGCAAATACCGCCTCGATTGGGTCATATGGTTGCAAATAATGATTATTTCGGCTTTTTAAACTTACATTTTATACGGGTGCACCAGGAGATTTTTTTACCAGATACGCAATTCAACTGTCTCTTTCTGATGACACCATTTTCAACTTGAAATTCAATGTTTAGTAAAGTGCTTATGCTATACCTACTATACTTGAGAGTCATTTTGGGTTAGTATTCGATGGTTTTCGAGTAGAACGAACTAGGTTTGGTTTTAAAAACACCATATTTGAAATCAGCACAAAAACCTCAGTTCAATTATGCGTATTTCAAATTGTTTCTGCGGCATTTTTTTCTGCCGAATTTTCACCCATGGTCTCCCTCAAGGATATAAGGAAAAATGAATTCTATCAGAAAAACGTTTGGTCAGTGGAAAAGTAGTTCTGGACTTGTAAAATGTTATTTGAAAAACAAATTATAGGTGTATAGATATTTAAATGGTGGTTTTAATGAAATTCATTTTCCCTTATATTCCTGAGGAGGACCATGGGTCGAAATCTAACTGAAAAAAATATCGTAGAAAGAATTCGAAGCACACATGCGTTGATTGACACTTTCGGACACTGATTCCAAATATAGCATTTTTCATGTCAACCAGGCAGTGGCGTAGCCAGGATTTTTATACCAATGGGCAAACTTCTCTTATGCTAGAAAAAATGATGGGCGAAATGGGCAAGGTTTTCATTGATGGGCCAAAAGTTTTTTGACCCAACCAAGTACTGATAACGTAAAAAAACACAAAAAAATGAAACGAGTTTCTTTTAATGAAATTTGCATAAAAGTCAGATCTTAAGGTCCCCCCCCCCTCCAAAAAAGTCAATTTTCGTCAAAAACATGAAAATTGAGATAAGTGTGTGAGAAGATAGTCGGAAATCTGCCCTTTCAAAAGAGATATAGCTTTTTATTTCGTACATTGTTTTAGCAAAATTTTTGATTTTTTCCGTCACTACCTACTTGAAAAATAAGCTGGTTTTTGGTGAAATCGAAAAATCTTTTTCGTTTTTTCTCAGTTTATGATTTGTCGAACGCTCAAACCAAACTTCTCCGACCAGGCTAATTATATAGGATGGTCCAAAAGTAACCGGGTAGTCTTTGATTACGAATCACTTTTGATAGGAACAAGATAGAGAGTTGCGGTTTTCATCGTTTAAAAGAGAAAAAACTGCATCGAATCTTGAATACCAGATTTTTATGACCATATTCACTCGGAGTCTCCAGACAACTTTTGTGACGCAAATATTTTTGCAATGTAAAAGTTTTAGAATTTTAATTTTCAGTAGTGCATCAGAATCGTTAACTAAAGTTCAATAATCTGTGTAGGTTCAATGCCAAAAAGATTTAGCAAATCATTAGTTCTTAACATTTTACTACGTGTTCTCAGCAGATTCTTGGCGAAAAGCCGACGTTTTCTCGGAGCTTTTGACGAAAAATCCACCTTTTAGACCTATTTAAAAAGCCTTAGTTTTTTAAAGAAACTTGTCCGAAAACCATGAGAAATTTTGTTATAAAAATCCGGTATTCAAGATTCAATGCAGTTTGTTTTCTCTTTTAAACGATAAAAGCCGCAGCTCTCTATCTTGTTCCTATCAAAAGTTATTCGCAATCAAAGACTGCTCGGTTACTTTTGGACCACTCTGTATGCATTTTTTTTTTGTTTGAAACAGCATGTCAAAACGTGCGGCACCAAAGAGTCCTTCGTTTTAGTTAAGCTTTGTTCTGTTATATGTACAATCACTTTTATAAATTGAGCTCCATTTTTAGAGAGTTGTTTGACTCATCGAACTTGTAGTTCCTTCTCTCTTTTCAAGAAATAAAAATTCAAAAAAAAATGAGTCTTAGGTGCCCTGCATCCTAACATGCTCTTTCAACCAAAAAAAAATTAAACATATATAAAGACCCTGAGTCAAAAAAATTGGGATGCCGAATCAGTTATTTTTGAACCTTGTTTGGTGGATATCTCTGTCAAACGTCATGGTATAGAACTGAAACTTTCATCATAGCTTCTCCACTATAGCTACAACGTATTCTCCGAATGTCATGGCATTAGAATGTTCCTGGACTGATATTGATTTTTGAAGGTGGAGAGACCTTAAGACTGAGTCATGTGTGTTTAGTCTATTTTGAATATCTCTATTTATAAGATTTATATTTCAAATTCAAACACCTAAATCAAGACGACGATGATGCATTTGTGTATATAATTTGCATATTTCATCTGGATTTATATTGAGATCTTTATAGATGTATGCAGCAGCAAAGAACTAAACAATTTAGAAAATTCAATGGGCAAAGCCTTACTTTTAAAAATTACAATGGGCAACTCTTAAAATGAAATGGGCAACTGCCCATTTGCCTCCCCCTTGGCTACGCCACTGCAACCAGGGTCACTTCTACCCAAAAACCATCGAAAATTAGTCAAAAAAAGACAGACATTGGCTATAAAGTACCCTGGTTAAGGTAAAAGTGCTTTACTAGACATCGGATTTCAAGATCAAAATGGAATGAACAGAAGGAGTAGAGTGAATTATATATTCGGTAAAAAAAATCAAGCTGGCACGCCCGTAAAACCTATAACTTCATAACGCTCAAAAAAACATTCCCAACCATTGCAAGATCCAATCTGGGCGATATTTGGCATTTTTCGATGGAAAAACATTGAACGTCTAAGACATTTTCATAGATTCTGATAGAGAAGTAAAACTTTGCAGGAAATGAACCTATTTTTCACGAACCTAGTTTGTGTTTTAATGAACTTTCGGGTCAAAAACTATTTTTCAGGCTTTCAGAGAGTGCTTCAGATCTTTCTTATTATCTGAGTACTTTTGAAAATGTGTGATATTTGTAATGAACACGCTTACCTCTATCAAACTATAAAAACTTATAATAGAACTATGATAAAAAATTCTCTCGATACTTGAGGGCGACTACTGGTGAGAAATAATTGAGTTGTGACAAAAGCAAAAAACCCTATGAATAATACTGAGGACTCAATGCTGATTCTCAGGCTAGCAAAATTAGGTTCAGATTTTTTGGGACGCTAGATTCATAATGTGACTTATCTTCTTTCTCCGTCTGGGCTCACTCTATATCATTATTTAATGCTTTTTTTTTGTTTGAAAAAGAATTTCTTAGTGCAGTGTAGTATATGATCTTTCATTAAATTCTTACTCTTTAAGTAGAGAAAGGGAATCACAAGTTCAATGACGCAGAAAACCCTTAGTAATGGGTGTCTACTTATGTATTGTCTATAAATATAACCCAGAATATCTTAATTAACAAACAGGACTGTATTACACTGCAGCGTATCATGTTCTTTAAAACAAAAAGAAATAAAATGTAGAGAATAAGAATGAACAGAGAAATTTGGATTGAGCAGCCAAACAATCATACTGAGAAAAAATGAAGAAGATTTTTTGGTTTTTCTGAAAACAACTTATTTTTTCGATGGAGGGATGACGAAAACTTTCAAAATTATCGAAAAAAAACGAGGTGTCGAGTAAAAATTTTGGTCGTTGATGAAAGAACATATTACGGGTTATCTTCCCATGCATTAATCTCAATTTTGATTATTCTGGTGAAAAATGACTTTTCTGCTCGGGCGACGGGAGTGGCGGCGAAAGCTTAAACAATGAGAAAATACTATGCAAAACACAGTCAATTATTCTGTTCCACCCTTTACTTTGAGATAACTTGACAAATGATCAAAATTATTAATATTTATAAAATAAAGATGTTAAAAAAGTGTACCCTAAACTTTGATTTTTTTAAAGTTAAACTGTCAAGTATGTCAATCTAAAATTTAACTTTAAAGTTTTAGATAGTTACTTTAACTTTAACTACTTTTTAAAGTTTTTTAAAGTTAAAGTGTCACTCCTAATTGCGATCCTTCATTGGCGAATCTTAGTGGAGTATTCTTAAAGAAAACATACTAGATCTTATGTAGATCTTTTCTAAAGCATACCTGCAGTGAACTTTTCAGGTTGATGACAAGACGTTCGTCGACGCCTCTCTTGTGCCCACTCACGACTATTCGCTCTCCTGCTAAAGTCTACCTCCTGGAAAGATCATCCTGCATCATTTACACTGCCAAAGTCACATTGTACTTTTTTCCACAAGATGATTGAATTGTAAGTTGCAGGGTTCTCGATTGAAACTTGAAAGTATCAGGGTCATTATGAGATTGTCTATAAACAGAGTGCATCGCATCTATATTAATGAAATATCAGTGTGATCCTGAAACTGATTGCTCAACCAGAACAAAGAAAAAATGAGTCCTGACGAATTATGCATAGTAAGTTAATCTACCTTGCTCACTTCCAAGCATGAAATCTCTGACTGGATCAAAGTTACAGTTGAAAGCATAAATATATGTGGTAGGCTGAGAATCCTGCCCAACAATATGATAAGACGAAACTCAGACACGGAAAAAAGCTTAAAGACTGAAATTTCGGTCAGAAAAAAGATTGGTCGACAACTGGATATTCCCAACATCCGATTCCCAGAGAATCCGATAATTGGCAGGATGACTCCACAAGACTCTAAGCGTAAAAATACTTGTTTGACTGATATTTCACTACAAAATTCGATTGAACAAGAGAAAAACACGAAAAGAATCTGATTAGCTAACAATATAGCTCAAAGTATAGCCATTTAATAATAATAATAAAAGGCTGAAAGTTAAGCTGAAACCGAAACAAAACCGAAACATAGGATTGGTAATCAATGATTCGAATCAATGATAATCAATCATATTTTTTGATTTTCGATTTCATTATCGATCTTTCTCATTACCCTTAGCAATCTTAGTTAGTTAAAGTAATGCTTCGAATATATATATGAGGGTACGTGACTGCAAATAAGCATACATATACGTACATAAACTTATTTTATTTCATCTATAAGCTCGTCCTTTAAGTTAAGGGAATACAGTACTTAAAAGATCTCGGGCCAAGCTAACCACTTCCTATACTGTTTTCAGCGATTTTGAGAGATTTTGAAAGATTTTGAGCGATTTTGAGAGATTTTGAAAGATTTTGAAAGATTTTGAAAGATTTTGAGAGATTTTGAGAGATTTTGAAAGATTTTGAAAGATTTCAAAAGATTTTAAAAGATTTTAAAAGATTTTGAGAGATTTTAAAAGATTTTGAAGATTTTGAAAGATTTTGGACGCCAAAATCTGCTTTTTCCCCCTTGATCTTACATATACTATAAATACCTTAAAATTCGAATATCTCCCTGTAGGCAAGCCAACATCCGCTAATATTTTAACCTTGTTAGTTTGGTGGTGAAAGCTTTCATTTGATCCGAATATGTCTAGTCAATGGTTGCAAAGATTTTCAAGACTCAAATGTCATTGGCCTGCATGGTCTATTGCACATGATAAATGATGGTTGTTTTGATGTGATAGATGGATGAGAAAGAAAAAAGTCAAAATATGGTAAATTTTTCATTTAACTGAATGCTACTAGAAATATTATGTGTAATAATCTTGTAACGCTCTTAGTAGATAAGATCGGATACTTGGTTGTCTCTTACAATTATCACTTATACATATATAAGGAAAAAGCAGATATGATCTTCGATGTATCGGTGTTTTTTTTGAGTTTGATTTGCTAGAAGAAACTCCTGGAACCATTTTGTTGGTTGATTATCCATATTTCTTTTTTTGCTCTTATAGGCAATGCATTGTATCCTGTTGTTATTTTTTATTTCGAACATTTCTTTCTAAGTCTACACCACAAAAACAGATGCATCTTGCTATACTCTACAAAAAGCATATCGATGTTGATGTGGGTGTAGAGTACGTGGATAAGAATGTAGGTTACCCATCTTCACCTATGTTCACATCCACAGGTATACCATGTAGTTCTATTATTCTGATTGTGTAGCTAAATAGATGAAATGATACACATCTAATTGAATCAAATTTTACATTATTGATAGATTGAGTAAAAAGAGATAGTTAATTTTAAGTTTTTAGATTTCATGTAAATTAATACGATCAGTAGTCTTAATCATGAGTATATTAGCATCTAAGATAGCAACATTTTTTATTTGTGAATCGTATCGTTGTTGTTCTATAATGCATCCATCGTTCGATATATGCAATATCTCTGATTGTTTATCCTTGATTAAAATCCATTGATCACTATTAATCGAACGACAGCGAAATCCTCCATCGAGCTCTAGCAACCAGAGACATTGAAGTGTCACTGATGAACGAAGTTCGAAACGCCAAGACTTATTTTTATCATGAACGATGATCATCGCCATTGAATCATTTTTAAACTCAAAATCTTCAATCCATTCGTCTTTGTGACATGTTAACGGTGGTTGCCATTGTTTCACGTATTTAATAGATGGAAGAGAGTATTCAATTATATTTGATCCTTCTTCTGATTGCCAGGTTGATAAGTATAGTGTTGTATTAGAACATGTTCCCCGATACCAATTCTTATCCGAAGAAATTTCACATCGTGTGAGTGTCATTGTTTTTTCATCGAGAACAAACAAAATTTTATTGGTAACGACGATGAATCGAGCGAGTGTTGATGACCAACACATTTCCCATATATTACTAAACGTCCATGGTGTCTTTTTGGTAAATGCCAATCGATCGTTGAGTAAACACAGATTCGACTCATTTTCTATTAATACATGTTTTCCATTGCTGGCCATTGCAGAACTCTTAGCTGTATAAGACATTGTTCGAGATGGAGTTCTAAGAGGAAGAAATACATGCAATTTAAGTACAATAAGATTATCATCAATCGTGAAAGGATGAATAGTGAGATCAAGGTTTTGAAATTCATCAATAGCTCGTTTAATTGAACAAATTTCCTCTGTGATCAAATTAAGTTGATCTTGATTTGCGTCTTGCTCTTGTATTAATTCTTCAATTTTAATTCTCAATTGATCGAGTTCTATTCTTTTATCTTCGCCTATCTTATTCATAAACTGTTTGCGTTTAGTCTCGTAGAATCGATCAATCGTTTGATGTGCTTCCTGACGCCATTTTTCAAGATCGTTGAGACAAGATGATTCGTTCAAAGATTCACTTTTGATTCGTTGCAATAAACTATTAATTTCGTCTGCGAGCGGTAATAATCTTGAATTGAGTAGATCTGAATGTTCTTTCAAATGATTGATACATAAATGTTCTTGACAGCAATGACATAGTGCAAAAGACGAACGTTTACATGTGGCAATTGCACATGTTCGTATTGTGGATGACGCCATATGTTGTTGTTTGCCGAAAAAGAGAACTTGTAGTAGACGAAAAAAAAATGGTGAGTTATGTAGCTCACAGTATTTGCGTAAGAACGAGAGAGATTCTCCTTAAATGGTGTCCACACACACCTACCACAACGCATTGCATCATCACAATGGCGTAAAGAATTCCATTGGGCCAGCTTTTCACGAATTATATTGTTCGAAACGAATTATGACCATTGGTGATCGGTGAATTGGTGTCGTTGCAGGACAAATCGTCACATGAAGAATTCGATAATCTGCCGTGGGGTATGGATGAATGTGAGTCTTCCCTTTACTCACATTCTTCTGTATCCTTATGGGATTTCTACAGTAGTCTGGACCGTTTTGAGAAAAATGTTTTTAAAATTTTTATTCTTACACTGATCAAGAAATTTATCCTGAGTAGGATGTCTATGTGAATATTATTTGCTCTTTAGACGACCTGAAATCAAAAAAAGTTTCTTAAAATGTCTTATTTATTAACATAGTGTCGTTTTTTTATCACTAGTCGCCAATAACAATACTCTATATATGATTCAGGGATAATCATATGACTTGTTGAGTAGCATGAGCTTCAATAGCGATCTTTATTCTTCGTAAACATGAATTTTAACTGATTGTGTATAACAGGGCATTCATGAAATGCTAATAGATGCAGTATTGATAAAAATAAAATTCACAAATATTATAGACAACTTTTTTCATATAAAATTTTGTTTGTTTAAAAAGTAACTTTATGCTTTACAGTCTAATAGTTTATCAATATGGTGTTTCTTGCTTTTCTTTAAATATCTTGTTCATATCAATCACTAATAGAAATATTTCAATAAAAAACGATGTCCTTATGTTTATTCTACATCGAGATAGTGCATTACTTGTAGTCAATAATAATCTTAGTTTTTTTTATCAAGTCTAGAAACTTTCATTTGCAAATGAATAAAAGATTGATTAGATAATAATCGAATTGTCTTTACTAAAAAGTGTCGTGATGATTAAGTGTGCATAATATCAACCACAAAATCAGACAACAAACAATAATAAATGTTTCAATAGTTCATAAAAATCAAAACAAAAGAGTAATTATAAATGAATTTCTGTTTTTATTTCATTTTGATTATGCATTTCAAGTGATGACAATTAGATATCATCATCTTACACCTAATAAAAAGAAAATAAAAATTTATTTTCATAAAGGAAGAAAGGACAGAAGGTAGGAAGAATACTCGTATCTTTCAGCCACTTTTTGGTAGGAGGAATAACCTAGCTGCAAACTCAATAGTTCAATGTCTTTTCTACAACTAATGTAAGCTGTGTAAATCTGGACAGAAGGCTAGTCTGGCGCAAAGTTCTTTCTCGTTCAATGGTTTGGGCTTCCCATACACACTAACTAACCAAATACAAGCCATAAGTAGAGGTGTAAGCCGATAGGCTGATCGGCGGCGGCGCCAGTTTTTTAAAATTTTTTTAAAATGCTCGGCGGCGCAGATTTGATATTTCAAGATTGCACAGCGGCGGCGGCTCGAAAATTGTAAAATTTCGAATACCATCGGCGGCGCGGCGGCTGTAATTAAAGTGTCTCAGCGGCGGCGGCTTGAAGTTTAAAAAGTACTACGTTATCATAAATAAATTAGTCTATAACCTTGTCTACACGAGGAGGATAATGCAGTATTCAATTCGTATTAAATCAATTCGTGTCTACATTTGTCAGTTAATGCATCAATCAGAATCCTTGACTTTGAAATGAATCGTAGTTTTTGTTCACTTCAATCATAGAGGAATCGCTCATTGAAAAATCCAATCAGACTTTGATTGGTGCATCAACTTTAATGTGGTTCTGAATAGTGCAATAAATTTAATGCACTTTATAAAAGTGTTTTAAATGTTTATTAACTGTTTAACCAATCATGTTTCTTAATTTACCATCAAAATTTTTAGTGTAGACAAGGCCTATTTCAATATCTCGGCCTTTTTATCTTCAAACACATATGTGGAAAAACTTTAATTCACATCTAGACATAATAAAAAAAAAAAGTCTAAAATTAAAAATAAATATAATTGCTAGGGTAAATAATAAATGAAAAATCACCACCACGATTGTTAATAAGTAAAGGCACTTAGCGTATTCAAGTTTGTTGTTTTTATTTTGTTTTTGTTAATCAAAATTTAAAATGCTCGTCTCTTCTTGTATTTATTAATATATCTAATGTAAAGACATAAACAACTGAAATGATAACTTAGAATTTTCAACCAACACAGAATTAAGGGTTTGTTTACAATTTAGAACCCCAAGCACCTGACTGGTCAAAGAACCAGCACGAAAGTGAAGTTGAAGACGAGGAAGATAATGAAGAAGAGATTTATTGGGATTCTAAGATGTCAAAGTACCGAATTAAAGAAAATATAAATAAAACGTTTATTTATGCTAGTTGCCAGCGGCGGCAGCGGCTCGAAAATTTTAAAATTTTGAATACCATCGGCGACGCGGCGGCTGCAATTAAAGTGTCTCAGCGGCGACGGCTTAAAAATTTCCAAAATTGCTACTGTCACGGCGGCGGCGGCTTAAAATTTTTTGAGTCTGTCGGCGGCGACGGCGGCTCAGCCGCACGGCTTACACCTCTAGCCATAAGTGTATGTATATGTCACGCATAGTTTGCATGTTATCGTACAGATGATCCGAGACAAATAGCCGTTAATGATTTATCTAGGGTCATTTCACAAAAAGTAGTATTAAGTTTGGAAAACAGCATCTTCTAGATACGTGTCGACGAACATAACCACTCAACCATGATGCCATATTTATAGAGAAAAGTGGCGATGTTCGTTTCAGTTTCAGTTCTCTCGACACCGACAACTACGTCCATATTTGAATATCTACAGAAAAAAGTGTACCGTATATTTGTCATCTTTAGTGACATTTCTAAGATTCCGAATTTTTAGATATAGCATACGAATGTAGTTGTTTCAGGTTTGTGGGCAAGCAAATTATGATGATGTAAATGCAGTTTGAAACCTTTGGGTTGCTTCAATTGTTGAAGTTGCTTGGTTTCTGAGACTTCCTTGAGGTTCGTGAGTGAGTTTACACTTTTGGAAAGTTTTATGAGTTCAGAACTCACGAAATCCAGACAGGTGTCTGAAAACCCGTTTGAAATTTATTTTTCGATGTGTAGAATATTTAATAAGGATGGTAGCCATACAAAAAAAAAGAAAGTAAAGTGCATTTATTCAACTACAGTCTAGCTTCTGGAAACTCTACTCTCTTCATTCACTGAAATAATTTAGACAAAAATAGAGATAATATTCGTAATAAGTGTCGTCAACTACATATTTTGCATATGTTTGACTTATAACGACGAGCAGATTTTTTCAATCACGTCTATGAGATAAAGGTGCGATAGATCCTAATGTCGAACTAAGATGAGTAAATATGTCTATGTTATAATCCATGATTGATTAAACACCAAGAGCGACTTTTTTTTTTAAATGTTTAGGAAGAAAAGTGCCCTTATCGACAATCATCTTATACTTATATAAAAATCAATAACAACTTGGTAATCCAAGTTTACAAGTATAATGAAAATAATTTAATAGTTTTGTTTTTTTGTTAAGCAATAAAAGTCATACATTGAGAGCAATGGGAAAATCATGAAACTAATGCAGTAGATTTTTGCTTTTTTTCAACATAATCAAATTATTTATTTATTTTTTGACGATAATTCTCAAAATAACAATGTCAATCAATTTTTTTCTCATTTTTTAATACTCTACGATCGAACTCTCTCTAATAATAATATCTCTCTTTAATTGAGTCCGAATGCATAGCGATTACATAGGATGAATGAATGAAAAATAATCAACCAAGAAAGAGAAAAAGGTATAATGACGTGGATGTATGGAAGAGCAGACACGAAGAAATACACAAACAACTATACAGATGATGATATACAATGCAACCACAGAAGCTGAAATATGAACTGTCCGTTTATATGCATGCTACTTATCACACTGACAATTTCTCAATTCAAAGTACATTCTTTTGAGATTGTTTTTTAGTTTTTGTGAATGTGTAGATAGGCGACAAGCAAGCAACGATAAAATGGGAAAAAAAAACATCTGTATGCAAATGCTATAAAGGCATATATTTACTGCATCACCTCCATTCCATATTCATTTTATTAGTAGTTTTTATCTGTTCTACATTCGATCGATGGCGACAATACAGTATATGCATACATATTTGTTTCTTTCTTGCATTGCTACCGGCTTGATCAATATAATTCAAGGCGATTCGGATAAACAAGTACCAGGCACATTAATTAATATCCAGCCACGTGCCGCTTGTTCTAGTTCGTCTTTGTGTATGTCAAAATGGGGTTATTGTGGAACAGGAGCTGAATATTGCGGTGATGGTTGTACAGGTGGACCCTGTTGGAGTAGTACTACTACTCAAAGTGGATGTCCTGAAACGTATATGTGTAAATCTCAGTGGGGTTATTGTGGAACGGGAGGAGAATTTTGCGGTAGTGGCTGTACAGCGGGTCCTTGTTGGGGTAGTACTGGCGGTGGAAATGAAAACAGTGGCAGCAGTGGTGGTGATGGTTCCATCATTACAGAACAAAATTTTGCCTGTGCATTCAACACAATAGACGCTGGAACGAGACTCAGTCGACTCAATGGTCTTAGAAATTCAGGTTGGAAACCAGCGAACAAGGAAGAAGCGGCTGTTTTTCTTGCTCATGTTTTTCACGAAACTGATGGTCTCAAAACAATCAGAGAATATTGTGCTCCAGGTAAGTATTTATTAAAACAAAACGAATTTATACATTTCTGCTTAGCTGCTGTAATGCTACGAACACATTTATCTCATCATTTTGTATTGTATTTCTTTGACAGATCTATCAGAAATAGGGACATATCTTGTAGTTTATTTGATCGTTTAAAACATTTGCATTTGATAAGTTAGAAGCTTAGTGAAATTGAAGAATTTTCTTAACTTGTATATAATTTGATCGGAATCTTATGAATACTACAATGAAAATTTTCAGCATTATAGAAAAGAATTCACTCTGAAAAAAAACTGGTTTTGAGAGTGGTCGACAATGTTAGTGAAGAGATATTCTATTGCCATACACAAATCGCATACCTTCCTTTAAAACCAGTTTAAAGTTTAGGAAAAGATCAACCTTTTTTTTTAAAAACCTCTATGAATTAAAAGAAAAGATTTAATTTGAAAGAAAACTCGATCAAGTTAAAACACAATGCTTACATATAAGTGTTAAGTAAAAATATTGATTTATAAGATATTCAAATATTTTAAAAATAGAACTTTTGGCATTCTAATGAGAATTGAATGTCAATTAGGTTGTGGTTCTCATTATGCTGGATCATGGTGTAGTATTCAAGGTGTGCCGGGCAAATTGTACTATGGTCGAGGTTGGTTTCAACTATCTTGGCCATGCAACTACCATGCAGCTGGACGGGCTTTAGGTATAGATCTGCTGAATAATCCAGATTTGGTTGAACAACAACAAGATTTAGCTGTAAAAACTGCTGTTTGGTTCTATAATTCAAATAATATGGCTGGACCAGCTAAGCAAGGTGACTTTGCAGCCACCACTCGAATCATTAACGGACAATTGGAATGCAATGGAGGACCAGGGGCTGGTAATCAGATGACTCGAGTAGCCACATACCGACGAATTCGGCAATGCTTTGGCCTTGGAGAGCCGCCTAAGAATCCGGTGTGTTAATCATACACTCTGTTTTCTTCATCAACATAATAAAATTTTACTTTGTACTGCTGTGAGTGGCACAAATATGCACTTACAAGTAGCCATAAAAGTAGCCAAAGATCTAACTGTATTTTTCTTTTATTAGCAGATTTGTACAACAATGATAACAAATTAATATTTCCTTCTTCATGAAATATTCAAACCATGATTTTCATATGTAATAGAGAACAAATTGAAAGCTATTCAATGCTCCAGAGAAAACATATGTGTTCCTCGTTTAAAGAGAATTTTTAATATTTGCACTTTTATCACATAAAAGAAAAAATACACAAATGGAGCTAATACATGTCCGAATACTTTTTGGACTACTTTTATTTTAATATGTGAACATTATTCATGTATCTAAATGTATTATCACAATTAGTGAAGTATCCCAGTTGATACAATGAAGACATTCCAATGTCTCAATGATCATATATAAAGAAGATGAGATGTCAAATGATACACGAATATACAATGACAGGAAGAATAGTTTTTGTTTTTATTCTGATAATCATGCAATATCAAGCTATTCATATTGACTCGGTCTCGTATCGTGACAACTACATTTTGATGTCTTATTAGTAAATATAGTCAATGTTTTATTCAGACTTTCGCAAAGCTTCAAGAATATTGTCACGATAGAAAAAGGAATAAATATTGCCGTATTGTCTTTTCATTTTCTAGTAGCTTATTGAATAATTTATCAAAAGAAATAAAAAATTTTGATTGATTCGTGAATAAGATTCTTGGTCTTAGAAGTTAATCACATCCATATATATATATATACTAATGAAACTTAATCATATCTGTCAAAACTCCAATATTCTTGTGACAGTTTCAGATATATCTTTAAAATAAAAAGAGTGTAACAACTTTTTGAACATTTTATGTATATTACTTATGTAAGTTTATTAATCCAATTGTTTATATGAATCATATTGTTTGCATAATGTAAAATATTATCTTGATAAATAGAAGTCATTAGTGAAATATCAAGAATAACCTTTAATATTTCGCTTCTGATTCTGTATGATAAATTCATTCAGTAAAAGTTAATGAAGAACAAAAATCAAGGAAGCAAAACCATAATCAAAAATAAAAACACTGCGACACATGAGTAGACGCCTAGATTGATACAATCAAAAGGAGCAATGATAACTAATACAATGTATCAATCAAAAATAATCAGTTTTTAAATATAATTATCAACTATGATCTTGATCATATTCATCAGTATTAGACATAATGAAAGATAGATTTGAGCACTTTTTACGTTTCAACATGTTTAATTTTTCTTTATTATTGTATTTCTTTTCTTATTAATATTGAAAAGATAATTAATGACTTCAGCATCTTTGAGCTTACCATAGTTTATCTTTTGTCATGTTGAAGTGCAGAAACTCATAAGTGTTTCAAATTTTATATTGTATTTTGTGATAAAGTTATTGAAATTTAATATGTGATTCTTCGATAAAAAACAAAAACTATTCAAGTCAATTATTATAGACAAATTTATTTTAAATAATATTTTGTTTAATAAAAGAAAAACATAGCTAAAATTTTTCAATAATTGGTAGTTCTTTCTTATTTTTTAAACATTCACTTGTTGGTTTTTGTGGCATATTCGTATTAATTTCAATTTTATTACTAATAACATATTTTACTTGTAGTTGTTTCTTATTTGGTTTAAATGTAAAATAAGTTAATATAGGTAACGCTTGAATACCACATGTACTTACTAGATGCAAAGTATTTCTCAATATTACTGAATCAAATCGATTTGAATCATAAACAATAAGTATCGAATAAATTGTATGTGGCCAATATGATACACAATACCATCCAAGATAAATAAGTGATTGATAAAACATTTTTTTTAATCTTATCCATCGTCGGCGTTTATTTATTCGTGTTCGATATTCATATAATCTTCGTAATAAAATAGTTGTAGCAAAAATCATAATTACCATAGGTATGACAAATGTATACAATGTAAATATAATTACATCGGAAACGTTTTCAATAAAACACACTTCAAATTTTTCATATTTGAAACATTTGGATAAAAGAACAATTAAAATTGAACATGTATAAACAAATATAATGACAATAATCAGTGGAATCATTTGTCGAGACAATGATATTGGTGTATTTATTTGAAAAAGAAATCGATGTCGTTCTAAACTTGCCCACATTAAAAGATAAGCAAGTCCACCAAAAATGACATAATTATGAATCAAAAATAAAATACAAAAAACTCGTGAAACAATAAACCAAGAAAGATGAATACCAATATAAAGCCCAGGTGCATAAATAACAGAATTAAATAAGCAAAAAAATAACATATGATGATAAATATAATTAAAATGAGTATTGAAATTTCTCTGACGGAAAAAACGTATTAAACTAAGAATACTAAATATTGTTCCAATCAATGAACTGATTCCTATTGTTAAAGGCACATACCAAGAAAAATGAGCAGAATCATGTTCATTATTATCACCAAATAGCAATAATGAATAGTTATGACTTCTATTATTCATATTTATTAAATAAAAACGTCAAATGAAAAAATAATAGAAAATATGTTCAGTGTATATATTTCTATATTATTATTGTCTGTAAGTTATATGACAAAGTTGCGTTCGTGTTTTCCATCTTTATCTAACTCATTAACGTCTGAAATGAAATAAATAGTGAAAAGAAGATTAAATTAGTTGCAATTGCTCGCATTATCTTTATGTCACTTGAGGAAATGACAGGCACGGTCGAGAATGGCTAAAAATAAAAAAAAGAAGAAAGTGCATTGGTCTAACTAATTAAAGAGATTTTTAACGTCGCATAAACTCTTTTGACGTTTTTCCCTTAACACATCTTATATACAGAAGGTTATCCAACATAAATGAAAATCACAACAAACGAAATTGCAGTTCATTTCTCTGCTTTTTTTTTTATTGATATAAATTTAAAATGATATATTCGTAAAACGTTGTTTCAACTGATAATTTTTTTTTAATTTTGTATTATTGTTCTATTTTAGTCGTTGAAAATATTCCTTAGTGAATCATCGTATTTTTGAAAGTAAAAAAAATCTTCTTAACATGGATATAATTGCATGAAAACTAGATGTGTAAAGCAGACAGAGAGTAGAAGAGAACAGAAAAAAAAAAATATCCGCCCAACGTGGGGCTCGAACCCACGACATTGAGATTAAGAGTCTCACGCTCTACCGACTGAGCTAGCCGGGCTTGCAAACTTATGTAACAAATTAGAGTAGAATTCATCATAAGTTTATTAATTAAAACAGATTTGAACACATCATATGATTTTATAACAGTGGACATTTGATTTTTACTACATTTTAATATACTTGAATGTTCAAAAATTATTTCCATAGAGTTCTAATAAATATTATATATGCATTTCTAAAAATGTATGGATCACTTTTGGATTTGACAATTTTTCTTGTCAATATGAATAGAATAATTTTTATTATTTTGACATGTATTTTCATTATACAGTAGTATTTAATTACTAGGTAAACACAAATGAATCTAAAAAATTTTATTATATGTTTCATTTTCTATGTGTTCATTACTAATTACAGGTGTGACGAATGATATTTGATCGAATATCTATTCATTTTCCAATGAGCAGATTCTTTAAAATGAAATCATTATATTTTATCAGAAAATTCTTTTCTAGTTAGTTGGCTTCTTAGAATAATATGTATCATGCATTTGGCAAAAATTGAAATGAAGATACTTAAAATTGAATATTGTTGTGAATCGGTTTAATAGGAGAAAATTTAGGAGTAAATGAAGGTCACTGTTGTGGTCAGTTATGTAATAAGTAGTGGCATATGCCCGGCTAGCTCAGTCGGTAGAGCGTGAGACTCTTAATCTCAATGTCGTGGGTTCGAGCCCCACGTTGGGCGTTGTTTTTTACAGCTTTCATTTTTGCAATTGTTTTCATCGACAATATTTCTTTTCTAAACTAGTAATTGACTACTTGTATTGATTGATAGAAACAGCTTTCTTAGAAATAAACGCAATATGATACATGATCGAATAAATATGAATGAAAAAATTTTCTTCTTAACATTGAATCAAATTACATTTGAGTATTTTGCTATACAATATATGTTTAAATATTTATTCAAAAAGAGATTTTGATCATTGCAATACACACTCTCATCTCGATGGTTTCAATTCAAGGTTATACTCAAAAAGAAATATACAAGAGATCAGGATACTTGTACAATTGTAAATTAAAATAACTAAAAAATGAAAGAAAACTTAAAAATTTCATTCTAGCGTATCAATGCGAACAAGTTGTACATTTGCGTGAGATTTAATACTTAAATGAGATGTGCTTCTTCGTGTAACGATCAGTAACTAAATATAGTGAAAGAATAATTTCATTCTACATATGCCAGTTTTAACTAAAAAGTGAATCGTTACTATTTTTCTGAAGGACAAAGAAAAAAACTAAACAGTTAATTTGAAGGCTTTCTTGGTAAATAAGAGTACGGAACATGATATATTATTTATTGATTCATTTAGATTCATGAATTATGATTTTCCTATGAATACAATTTATGTCATAAGATTTACATTTCAGATTGTGTTATAGTCGAATTTTTATTCGATTGATTTCTGATACCATTATGTATATTATAAATTTAGAAATATCAACAATTATTTACATAATAAAGAACAAGTACAACCTTCAACTAATAGTCACATAATTAAAAAATCTTGTTGACATTTTCAAATATTGTTTAACATAAAGTAATACATCAAAGAGATTATATTTTCTTAAAAAATCATTCTCGATATACGAATATTTTTTTTCTTCAATTAATCATTTGATATATATTCTTGCTAATGTATTGTTATTAGCTGATATTTTCAGCCCATTATTAAGCAAAATTCGCAATTTGAACAGAAGTTTATTCATCTAATATTTAAGATAATAAACCAGATTATTTTAAAGTTTAGTTGTTGTGATTATTATTTAAGTGAATACTTGTCACGCTAGTTTTCTGATAATCTATTTTAAAACGCAAAACTCAATCATTTGCACTTTTTAGCTCGGGTTTTCTTTTCAATCGATTTTCGTAATTCAATTCTAATCAAATTGAATTTTTTTGATGACATCAACTCTTTCAACTGTAAGGTACATGATAAAGTTTCTTTTTTTTTTGTTAATAGCATTAATATTCAAAGTTATTTATTGAATCGATTTCAATTGAGCAATTGTTTATTTTGAAGAGGCATTGCATTTTTTTTTATAAAGTTGATAGAGTACTTTTACATTGACTATGATACTTTTTTTCTTACCATTTTCTTTTTTTTCTTACTAGACTTTGTCTGCGTAGCAGCGATAGAAATATTAACATACGCAAAATAAGGAAGAAACTAAAGGAACATTCATTCGTCTATTTTATCACCTCTTACTAAAAGGAGTCATGACTACTTTTCACTAAGACTTCTTTCTTTTTCCAAACAACCTTCATCATTTTTTGAGAGGAAAAATAAAACATCTCATTGGATGTGCATATTTTTTTCTCTTTTTTTTCTTTGGTTTATTTATAAAATCTATTGCAGAATTCCTTGCTACTGAATTTGTTAACGATATATACCTAATTATTAAGTTTCAATTTTCAAAAAAAAGAACAATGAGCCATATAGAGGGAGTTTTATACGTAACAATTGTTGAAGCTCGTAAATTAAAAGACAAAGATATTGTTGGTAAAGATGATGCTTATGTTGAACTTTATTTGGATAAAGATTATAAACAACGAACAAAAACAATTAAAGATACAAATAATCCAACATGGAATGAAACATTGACTTTGTAAGCTTAATATATGATTTTTAATATATTGCTTATATTATATTATTTAGTAACTTGCACAAACATCAAGATGAATTACATATACATGTTTATGATGAAGATGTAGCTGGACGAGATTCAATTGGTTCAGCAACGATTAATTTAAAAAAACATGTTTTTGGTAAAGGTCGTTATGATGAATGGGTCAAATTACCAACTCATTTAGGTCTTAGTTCACATGGAGAAGTTCATGTTATTATCGAACATCGAGTAAGAAAGATTTTTATTCTTATAAAAAATTAAAACTGATTATCTTTTGTTTTTCTGTTTTAGCAATAGAATAAACTTATTAATAAAACAGCTTTAATTACAAAACGTTCTTTTGTTCAACTTTTTGTATATATTTTGCCATTTAATAAATCCGACTCATTAACAAATTATTGAAATTACCATTGGGATTTTATATAATTAACTACTACTCATATATAATATTTAATAGATTTTTCAAATGTCACGTTTCAATAGGCATTGTTTGAAAGAGAAGAACAAGATAGTAGTTTTATTTTAGTATGATCAATTATGTTATCTGACAACAAAAAATTGCGATACTTTTTTTACTACTTTGTTATATTCTTATATTTAAGCTTTTCTCAATAGATATCATAAAATCCTATTCAGCATAAACAATTCTCATTTGTCTCTTGTATGGTATGATATTAGTTGAAAGTCTTCAAGTTCTTTGTATAGACGAAAGTCCATAGTACAAATCATCTATTGATAAGAACAACACTGATATGAGTTATTATAGATCAATAAGACATGTCAATGGTTGACAGCAAAAAACAGAAGTGGTAGAGAGTATACAGCATCGAGAAGTGTAACTTGATTTGTTGAACTGATGGGATTATCTATGATTCCGCACTTTTAAAGATATGTCAGCCACTGCCTGACATCGGATAGATATTAGACTTTTGATAATTTTCAACACTCAACAATAGTTTTCAGGAATATACTTGTCCAATTTTTTATCATTGCGTTCCCTATCATCATTTTACTTTGTCTTCATTTCAAAATTTCTCAGAGCTAAAAAAATTGTTAACACAAACATTGAATACTTTTAGTCGTCTCCACTGATTACTGTATCAATTTGGACTTCAAATGATAGCATTAAATATTCATAAAAAATCGATAATGATATAAATAGGAGTAAATTCTGTACAGTCTAATTTTTCAAAGCGTTACTTTACATATCGTATTTTCGACACTTGTTTCGAACAATATCCAATTGATTCGTAGGACCATAACTGTAAAAACAAATTTACCATATGATCAACAGTGGGTTAATAAATGTGATTTATTCTTAATACTGAAGATGAAATTTTGTATATTGATTAAATATTAGAAAGCAAGAAAAGTTCTGTGTGCTGCTATTTTGTAAATTAACCAACAGTTCTTTGTTATATCAAACAATTCTAATAAGTAATTATTTTACTTTTCATTTAAAAATCGAATGAATTCTGTACATTTTTACCATTTTTTGGAATTCGAATGAAATGATATTTCTTCTCTCATGTGTGAACTGACACTTTTGAATTGAATATAATAATGTTTTAACACGAACGAGAGAAAAGTAGATGAGAAGGCATATTGACAGGATCTGCATTGATAATGTATCACTCGATTGTTAGTGACAAAAGAAACTTTAAAAAATCCTATACAATTGTATTTGAGTGAACATATATATAGCAAAATATCATTTAACATTCAATCACACTTTTCTTTGAATCCAAACAGATAAAAGACGCAAGAATAGTTAAATGTTGACGCATTGGTGGCTATAAAAACAATCATGTTTTTTTTTATCTAATGACCAACAAAAAATAACTAAAAGAAGTTGATCCTATTCTTACCAACATTTTTTACTCAGCAGTATTTTATGAAGACAAACTAAAGACAACTTTGTATTAGCAAAGACAATTGCAACAATAGATATGAGAACATAATTCAATATTTCATAAGATAGTGCCAACAAAATATCAGTGTAATTATTTGCTAATAATTTTACTAAACTTACTAAAATATTCATCTAATGACAAACAAAATTTTTCATATCGTTTCATTAAAAAAAAATTCGTTGATTCCGAACAATAAAGTTTTTATTTCAAGAAGGCTTATTCATATTGTAGACAAGTTGTTTCATCGTAGCCGTATTGAACGCAGAATCTTTCTTTATTCTTCAACCACTACATACAAGTTTAAATTGGAAGTGCAATATTTGCATTAAACCGACGGTGCCAGCTCTCCAATTCAGGTGTGTGTGGTATTATAAAAGCTCAATACCGTCATTCACACCCATATTCGTTAGTTGAAAGCGTTTTTCTGTTCTTTTTACTGATGATAATGTTTGTTCTCAAAACGTCGGATGCTATCATTACTGTTTAGTAAATTCCTTTCTGTGCAAGGCAAGATTATTTCAATACAGTTCTAATATTATTCATAAAAAGATGTTTGTATCGACGAAACAGTCTAAGTAAAAGGGTTTAGCTACAACGAGAAGATACTAACTAATACTGTGCTCTCTGAAATTGTAGTGCTCTCGAACTTTACTTTCTTCTCCTTTTCTGTTCTATATTAGTAAATAAATGAAACATGCGGTTGAATTCTTATAAATACATTTTTCACATGTCTATCTTCTTGAATACTTACAAAATGAACTTTACAATGATACACTAAATCTAATGATTCTATATTTATAATTCTTTATATACATCTATTGTCTTCAGAAATAATGCTGTGGACAAAAATAACCTTGTAATATGCTTCACTCGAAAAAACAGAATACGAAGATAGATTTACAGAAAGTGAGTGCTGCTCTAACTTAAAAAAGGGTTCACGTCTTTCCACTAAATTCGATTAAATTAAAGCTTAAAGATATATTTATTTTAGTCTTTTATATATAGGGTGTCCAGAAAGTAACTAAACAAATAAAATTGTGAATATCTCCGCCGTATTTCGACCATATGGCATGATGTTTTTACCACTAATAAAGAAGTTTTTATAGTTTATATATATAAGAGAAATGTTCTCAACACAAATTATAAAAAAATGAGTATGATAGTTGTGTTACCGAATTCGTGCTGTTTATGGTTTATTCTTTCAGAGTGCAGTAATGAGCAAAGGATGTGCCTATAGTATAAATATTAGCCAGAGCGACACTAGCATAAACAATTAGTCGAAAAACTTAGATGTCGTTTAGTTTCGACTAAGGAAATAAATATATATTGCTTGTTCATAACTTGCAAAAGGTTACAGCCCTTTACTAAAGTCAGTTATAAATACTTCAAAAAAATCTTTAATAACGCTTCTTTTATAAGTATGAGCTATGAAAATTATTTTATCAGAGTTAAAAATATTAGCCCATATAGTGAACATACGAGAAAGATCTTCAAGTTTTTTTTGCTTATTTTCCTTTCTGGACACCATGTATATATATATAATTATAATTTTTCTACTTTAAATAAAATCTAAACGTTGTATAAAACTGAACTGGACGAATGATCCCACTATATTAATCAATAGTTGGGTGGATATTTTTCAGCATTGTGGCGCATGTACGTGTAAGATGAGTTCCTGTTCTGTTCTCTTCTTTCTTTCTCACATATTCATACATAATAATCCGTCATACGATGTCAGCATCAATATTTATATTCGTCCGTTCTTTCTTTGTCATACCCAACCGCTTTTTTTCTCTTTCTCCGTTTAGCATTTGTATAAGAGAAGAACAACTAATTTTTCTTCTATATGAATACTTTGATGTGTATGTATTAACATCTGGACTTTTTTGTTCGATGAAATTTTTTCGTGTCATTTTTTATTCATTATATCATCGGCGACGTCGAAAATATTACTTATTTTTACTTATCTGCATTATTTTAATAGCTTCTTCATATAGATGTTACTGGTGTATTGAAATAAATTCTTATAATAATGATATTGAAATATTTGAAAAAGAAACTGGAGAATTGCGAAAACAAACTCAGGATGATGATGTTGTAAAAAAACATCCGATCCTTCTGAAATATATTCAAGTCCCATATAATATAAATGTATGGAGTATTATCAATGAAGCTAATAGAAAATATCAACAAAGTAATAATAAATATCTTGTTTATTCTTGTCCATTCATGTGTGGAGGTAAGAATTTGACTTCTATTTTTTAATAATAAAAAATAAATTTTATTAAATTAGGCTGGGGAGATCGAACTCGTAAAATTGTTGCAAGCTTTTTACTTTCACTTGCTTTGAATCGTACATTTATTATTGATATGACATGGCCATGTTCAATTGAACGTATACTCACTTCAAATTTTATTTCATGGTCTATATCATCACACAGTCATATTAGAAATATTTCATCATCAATTAATATTACTTCATTATCTCCAAAAAATTATAAAATATTAAAATCATATCATGAACAATATTCTGTACTTTATATTCAAACAAATAATATTGCATATTTTGATATTATAGCTCGCAATCCAGAATTTTATAAATCATTATTTAATCGTTTTCGAGTCAAACAAAAACATATTCATATTATCACATTATATCCTTTATTTTATGAACTACTCATTCAATTAAAGCCACATTTACAAGAAAAATTTGGTCGACTTAATTTGAATAATTATCCACTAGGTAAGCACATAATGTCAAAATCGATTTTATTCTGAAATAGATTGAATTATTAATAATGATAAAATATTTAATTCATTTGTATACTTTGTGTAGATACAAATATAGACAATGGTCCGCTATTGTGTGGTCATTTACGTATTGGTCGTAATCCATCAAATCCAAAAGATATAGTATTTCCTCGTCGTGAACGTATGAATATAACGGTTTTAAAATTTCTACTTTCACGTCCTGGTCGTGTATTTATTACTACTGATTCTCGTGAAGTTCAACAATTAGCTCGAAAACTATTTTCAACAAAAAATACTGAACCGTCACGTTTAATAGAAATCAACGGTACAATGGCACATATTGATCGTGATTGGAATTATTTAGGATGTGAAAGTTTAGAAAAGACCATTTTAGATTTTCATGCATTAAGTTATTGTGATTTAGCTGTTATTTCGAAAAGTTCATTTGGACATTTAGCTGTCATGAGAAGAATTCATCCATTTAACGAATTATATCTTTACTGTGATGGAATTAAAAAAATTAATAACCCTGATGATTATAATAAGTACAAATATGGAACATGTTAACACATTTTTTTTTACTTATGTCCATTATCAAGTGGTCAACAAGTTGGAATTATTATTTTTTTTTTCTATCTTGATTGAAGTGTTAGATTGCTATCGTTAAATAAAAAATTACATCGTGAAAAACTTCGCGAAACTTTAAGTTTTTAAAATTTTTGTAAGTTTTGTGTTTTTAATATAACTCAAAAGAGTACTAATTAGTTAATCGGATCATACAGTTTCGAATTTATTCATTTCTTATTTTAATCAACAATGTTGCAAATTATTAAAACGAAACTCTTCTCAGCTAGATTATATCTGCCTGTTACGAAATTGTGTCAAATAAAAGTGATCTACAAAACTTCAAATTTTACAAAATATTAAACCAAACTAAAGTAACAAGGCTACTTTATCAGATATAACCAATGATGGAACATTTATGATTTTGATTTTTTTGTTAGATGGAAAACTATTTTAGGAAATTAATGAAATTTTAAAGTAGAGGAATCAGAGTGCCCAAGAAATTTAGCTAAAGAAATGAAACTTGAAAAAATTGAATAGGGATTCGGATTTCTTGCTTGCTGTAATCTTGATCCAAGTTTTATAATATATTTTTATTCTTCTAAAAAGCTTTTCTTCGAGAATAATATCACAAGTGAATTTTCCATATAAGTTACGTGGTAACATAAGGGTAAGTTTCCTTTCCATTCAATGATAAATGATATCCTTCGATATAGAAACAAACTAAAAAAACAAAGTTTTTATTGTTCAACAGATGATAGTTATTGGATATTGTTTACAATTATTTCTAAAATTGTCAAAATGAAAAAACTTCGTTTTTAGTATGCGCTTAAAAAAAATTTCAAATCTGAAAGTGGAAAACAAAATGAGAACTATGCGGATTGAGAGAATAATCAACATTTTCTTGACTGATATTAAAATGAGAATCTTTCCAAGTGTCACAAAATATGTGATGAACTGTTATTTGCAAGCACTTGTACATTTGTTTTTATTTTCTGAAATTAATGTCGAGTTGATTCAAATTCAAAGTTAAATATCATATCCATGATTCTGATTTCTTTTTTATGATTTGTTATAGTTTTTCCACTGAAAACAATTTAATATATATTTAGATTCCATGTTTTATTAGACGAAAAAAGAATGTTTCTGCATGTCATCGATAAGCTATATAATCAAATAAAAACAATGTCACAACTTCAAATCATAAATCACAAATAAATTATATTTGCGTCTTGTCTGGACAATAAACTATACTTTCTTTTATTTTATGATGCTAAACCATAATTGACAAAACCAAGTATTTCACGATTATATAAAACTAAAGCGACAAGTGATTACTAATCTATCTGTTCTTTTACTTAATCCATTCTAAAACTTGACCATTCATTTAGTTTTGAATATCATAAGAAATGTTTCTAACTGTAAATATAGTCCATGATGTTTTTTAATTTAATAAAATCATACAATCAATAAATCAATATGAAAGAAAGAAGAAGGTTCTTCATTTCTGTAAGAAGCTTTTTTTTTCTTATGTTTTTGTTGCTTAAAACCAGACATTCAAGAGAATCATATTTGATTCCGGAGCTTCTGTAAATGTTTATGAGTCAATCAGGGGCGGCGCGAAGAGGTCGGAGCAGGGGGGGGGGGGGGGCCTAAAATCGGAGAAAGTCAAAAAGTGTTCTCTAAACTGAAGTCTTCTTCGAATCAGAATTTTATAATATACTTCTCCAAAATCGGAGAAAATCGTCTACTCATTTTTGTCCAAAATTGGATTTTTCCGGATTCATAGAAATATATTCAACACTATTGTATAAATTCGCAGAAAATTCAAGTTTGGAGAACATTTTTGGGCGATTTTCTCCGATTTGGGAGAAATATATTATACACGTTTCTCCAAAGTCGGAGAAAATCCAAGTTTGGAGGAAACTATTAAAACTTTTTCTCCGATGTTGGAGAAATTTGTGTAATATATTTCTCGAAAATCGGAGAAAATCGGCTAAAAATGATCTCCAAACTTGAATTTTCTCCGATTTTTGGAGAAATTTATGTAATATATTTCTCGAAAATCGGAGAAAATTGCCTAAAAATGCCCATTAAACTTGAATTTTCTCCAAATTGAGAGAAAACTATCAAGTATATTTCTCCAAAATCGGAGAAAATTGCTTTGTAAACTCTCCAAAATCGGAGAAATTATCGTAGTAAATTCCCCCAAATCGGAGAAAGTACCAGCCAAAATTTTCTGGAGCAGGAGGAGGGTGACCCCCCTATCCCCCCCCCGGTCGCGCCGCCCCTGGAGTCAATGCATGAGAAGGACAACCAAAGCTGCTCAATCGATGTTCTCAGATTTTGTCGGGAGTGAGCTCTTCTTGTAGGGAAAAGTTGTTTAGGTATAAAACCAAATTTTTAGCCCTAAAGGTTGAAATTTGGCTGAGCTACGAAATACGAACTGAAAGAACTAAAAATGCCTTTTTATCAATTTTTGAAATTTTTTGTTAGTCGTCTAAATGCAGTATTTTCATGCTATCTCTTCACCAGGACGTGATAGAGACCTGAAATTTTTACCAGACATATATTTCGAGATGGGCAACATAACCATCGTATAGAATCATGTATATGTAGTGACAAAGTATCATCGACATTTCTAACCATATATCATAATATACATCTAAAAGTACTCTATCTTTAGAATAGGCTTTCTCCCAATCAGTGTGATAGATTTAGCTCAAACTTTTTTTTGCGAAGGCTACTATCTTAGTACTACTGGATTATCCAATCAAAAGTTTGGGATCTTGAATAGGGGTGGCACTTTCCTTTCCTTTCCTAAAAGAAAGGAAAGTTGAAAGAAAGTTAACTTTCCTTTCCTAAAAGAAAGGAAAGGAAAGTGAAACCTTTAGGTCTTCAAGTCCTATATAATGGGGTACCC